GGGCGCGGGCGCCCTGGCGCGGGCGCGGCCGCACTCACCAGCTCCTTGGGCCGCATGTTGTACAGCACCCGCTCGGCGTTCTCGCTGTCGTGCCTGCTCTCCATGATGGCCAGCAGCAGCTTGGAGGCGTTGTTCTGGGGGAGGGGCACGCGGTGGGCCGCCGGGCCCATGCCCGCGGAGGGCGCCCCCGGGAGCGACAGACCGGGCGCGTGGGAGGCCGCGCCCAGCGGAGCGCCTGGACCCTCCCTCTGGACCCGCCCTCCGGTGCCCGTCAGCTGCTCGCCCTGACCGCCCTCGGCCTGACGTGGGCGCCGGGACCGGAAGGGGCGGGTCGGAGGTCAGGGAGCCCCCCTGTTTTAAACAACACGCGGCGCCTGCCTTCTGCTGAGCAGCAGGGCGGACGACAGGGCCCCCGGAAAGGACGAACAGGAGCGGGGTGCAGAGCAGGCGCGGTCAGCTGGTCTCGGCCAGCCTCGCCCTCAAGGGGACGGAGTCGGAGGCCCACGGGGGCCCCAGACCTGGGGCTCGGCAGGGCGTGCCAGCCGGAACGCGGGAGCCGGGCGGGGGCCGGGCGGGGCGCCCCGCCGCCTTGCCTTCAGCTCCAGCACGAGGTCCATCCTCTTCCTGCCCAGCGGGTTGATGTCGTTGAGGATCAGGGCCGTGATGATGTCGATGCCGTTGGACTCGTGGGTGGCGATGCAGTTCTGGGCACAGACGGCGCGTGAGGCCGGCCGGCGCCCGGGAGACGCCGCGGCCCGCCACGCTCCGCCGGCCCGGCCTGCGCCAGCACCTGGTTCTCGTGGCAGGGCCCCTGGCAGTACTCGGTGAGGCTCTCCAGCGTCTGGTTGATGAGCGCCACGTTCCTCTCGTTGATGTACAGGCCCAGCAGCCCCAGGCCGCCGGTGGTGCTGCCGCAGATGCAGTCCAGGAACTGCAGCGTCTCGCACACCAGGTTGTAGTTGGTCTTGTTGTTCTGGCAGCGCAGGAAGTTCTGGGCCGGGGCCGGGCGCACGTCAGCCCTGCTGCCCCGCAAGGCGGCGCCCGC